ATGTTTAGTAGAAAGGAAATTTCAATACAATATCCAAACGATCAAATGCTACATAACATTGTATGTTGTTGTATATAAAAGACACAAATTTATTGCTATTGGTAAATAAACATTGACCGGCTTGCTTAAAATGTGCCATCAGGTTCTGTGCGTTGGTGTCTTTATCCACACTCCGCCTCTAAACCCGACATCTTCGATCGGGAAAGTCTCTAGCTCGGGACACCAGTTTGCGTGCACGGTCCTAAGGCAAGGCATTGACCGTTGGAGCTCTTCCCAATCCATGTCTAATTCCGACAACGAAGTTAACATCAAACCCTCGATTCTCCAGTGAGTGTTAGTCTCAATTCCCCAGAATCGTTCATGCATTTTCGCCAAATTACCTGAGCATATTGACATGTACCTCAACATCGGAAGCGAGTTAGGACTCAACCATGACGGACTTGAGTTTCCAGGATAGAATTGTAGAGAGAGCTCATAGAGCTGGTGCGGAGGAGTGAGAGCATCTATTTTGGTTATGAGATCATCGCCATAGCTATCGTAGCAGTTGATTGATATGAACATAAGCTTGGACAGGTTAATCAAGGAATCAAGCTCATCCTCTTCGATTTGGTCGCCACGAGTCAGAGAAAGACCAAGTTTTCTGAGGTTTGTGAGATTTCTCACTTCACTTAGCTTGCATCCATTGTTCGACCTGGATGGCTTAAATCCCAACAGTACTTCGAGATTCCCAAGACTTCCGATTCCCTTGGGGAAGTACTCAAGTGATCCGCAATTTGTCATGTCAAGTACAAGGAGTTTCTTGAACAAGACAATGCAAGGTTGAAGTTGTTTCAGATTCTGACAGTAGCTCGCGTCTAGAATCTGAAGATTGCGGAGTTCTTCCATGGAACGAGGAAGCTGAATCAACGGATGTGTGTTGCTCATACTAAGACACGCCAAGTGCTGAAGGCTCGCAATCTCATCCAAAATATCAGATAGAGGAGCATCAAATATGGATTTCGAGATATCGAGAACTCGAAGATACTTGCAGTCTGTGAATTTCTTAGCTAGCTCTGAGTTGAGCTTGTTCACCTCACCTGTCTTTGTTGTTGACACTACGCCTCTCAGTCTATGGTTAACTCTTATCTGCTTCTCATCAAAGTTTCCACTTATCCCAAGGTGACGACAGTTGAGGCCTTCCGGGTTAGAGAAGGAATCATTCTTCGCTATATCGATCACCAGATCACGAACCATGTCATGAATCTTGCAAGTAAGGATGGTTCCACTATAGGTTTTGTCAACAACTTCAATGAGACACCGATTTGTGAGCCCTGAAAAGCAATCTTCTCCAGATTCAGTTGCAGATTTTCCGTTTCTCAACATGACAAAGCCTTCTCCAATCCATCCATGTACTAGTTGTTGTTTCGGTATGACGCAGTCTTCTGGATAAAGCGAGAGCGTGAGAAAGCATGATTTAAGGTGAGAAGGGAGTTCGTCGTAACTCAACTGCAGAGAAGACATGACATTGTCAGTTTCAGAAGTGTTTCCTTTAAGTTCATCTTGAAAATACTCTGCTATTCGTCTCCATTCATGATAGACATGGTCTTTGCACAGAAGTAACCCACCAACCGCCTTAATCGTCAAAGGCAAACCTTTGCATTTGGTTACAATCTCCTTGCCTACATCTTCTAGCTCTGGACGATCGCAAGTCCCGCTATTTGCTGCAAATGCCACCTTACAAAATAGCAGCCAGCTGTTATCAGGACTAAGGAGCTGGGGACGGTGAGTCTTCTCTTTGGCCTGAACTTTTACCACGACAGATTCTGACCTCGTGGTCACAATGACGCTGCCACCTTGTCCTCTAGGCAATCCTTGGTAGATCTTGTTCCACCAACTCAAATTCTTGTCCCATACATCGTCCATTACAATCAAGTACCTTTTCCCCAAAAGATATTGCTGGATTTTCTTCAACAACGTTCCAAGATCATCTCCAACACTCGCGTCACCCAAATTCCGCAATATGCTTCTCATGATTTGTTCTTCAGTAAAAGTTTGGGACACAGACACCCATATCCTTCTTTCGAAACGGTTTTCGATCTCCTTGTCATTGAACACTTCTTGAGCAATAGTAGTTTTACCCAACCCTCCCATCCCCACAAAGGCCATCATCAATAGCTCGCTCTCGCTTGATCGAAATAGCCACTCTTTGATCTTCTTTTTATCTCCTTCCAAACCAACCACTTGGGTATGATCATACACCGGAGAGCTCCACCGATCAGTTCCATTATCTCTTCCGACATCGCTCGATGTTCTGAACTTGAAATAAGGCTCAACTTTAGCCTTTATAGCTGATATCCTCTCATTGATCTCTTTGAGACGTTTGCTTTTCTTGTACTTCAGCGAAACTTTGGCAGGATAAAACCGCGTAAGCCACGCGTTTGAAGCCCTCTGCTCGTTATCATCCTCATCACCATCCTCGAGCTGACAATCTACGAGTATGTCTTCAGCTTCATAAACCAATTCGCGTAAATCCGCCACGAGTTTACGCAAGACTTCCTTAGTTCTCTTCTGCCTCTCTGCATCTTTGAGAAATGACTGCATATATTGCAACTCATCTTGCAAATCTTTCAACTGCTTTCGATATTCCGACACAACTCGGCCTTTTTCTTCGACCATGTTCAAAAGTCTCTCCAAACACACAGTGACTACAGCATCCACCATTTCTTAGAACCTGCAACTAAAAGATAAGATTTCTAATTGATACAAAAAGGTCTAAGCAATAATTCAAACCGGTTTATGTATGAAAAGATCGAAACTTTCTACAAGCCAATCAACCAACGTTTGTAAAATCAGTAACCCAAGATAAGATTTTCTTGACTAATCGGTGTTTTCTCAAGAAACATGTAGAATCCTTTGAAATCAAGATGGATCTAACCAAAGTAACCAATCTTTATGGTAAGAGAACACTTACAAGGGAAGTACTGAGCCGACAAGAATCTGAAGCTCCTGATCTTCGCTCGACTTTGCAACTTGCTACAAGAAACATTATTGAAATAGAAGTCAACGGTCCAACAATTGTAAAGTCACCAGTCAACTTTACTCGTTTTCTTGGTGTCGACTACGAAATTATTTCAAATTTTTCTTATTTCATCTAAATTTATCATAGAAAAGAGAAGACAATATTATTCATTATCTGTAAATTAAGATGTCAAAAATAAAAGAACAAGTCAATATCTTTAAGATCGAAGAGAAGGTTTCTTCTAAGCTGTTGACTATTTCTTTTTGGCCGATTTGTAAGTTTCTTGGCTTTCAAGAACACAATCAATCCACGGAGCCAATTTTCATCAACTGTTGAGCTATTTCTGCTGGTGTAACTTCTGTTTCTCGGATAAATTCTTCAATCTGCTCGAAAAGTATATATATGGTCTTCGATCTCGAGATAATTCGACTGGTGTGCAGTAGTGCATGTCCATACGTCCTGGCCTCAACAATGCCGGATCCAGTTTCTCTATGTAATTAGTCGTGAACACTATAATCCGCTCGTTACCACAACTAGACCAGAGTTCGTCTACAAAATTCAATAGACCAGAGAGTGTGACCTGAAATATGACCAAAACCAAAAAGACTTAGCATCATTTATGAGCTTAAGCTAATATGTAAGACATTCACATATACAAATATATTAATCTAACAACATAAAAGTGATAGTGAATCAAATGCATCACCGGTTTATGCAGAGGAGCATTGTCTTCGTGAGTTACTAGTGAAGGCTCATCACCAGTCCGATCCTTAAACTCGATCGAACAATCAATATCTACCACAACGAGAATCCAACGGTTTGCAGTAGTCATCAATAGCTTCCGGAGACTAGCATTACTGTCAACTGACGTCAAGTCTAAGTCATATATATATATCGAAATTAAGATGATTCGCCATGGCTGCAATCAAGCTTGATTTTCCCGTGCCCGGTGGACCATACAACAAATACCCTCTCTTCCAAGCTTTCCCAACTTTCTTGTAAAAGCTTTGACGCTTCACAAAGCAATCAAGATCCTCTATCAAGTCTTTCTTCGCCTCGGGATCCATAGCAAGGATGGTCGAGAGTCACAGAGTTCCACTGCACGGAGTAACAATCAAGACTGAAGATCTTCAATGTCTTCATCTTTTGTTTCAGCAAAGCAGCTTCTTTCACAACAAACGGTAAGTAAGATTCAAGAACCTTGTTCTTGAACTTCTTCTTGAACCTGAGCTCGTAAGATCGAACCTCGGACTTCATAGTGGAATTCAAATCCCGAGGGTTACGAAAATCCTTTTTATTAACAGATTGGCAAACAAGGATCCACGTGAGATTCGAAAACATCCGAAACTTCCTGGCCGCGCTCCACGGTGACACTAAAATTGCTCTGTTTCTCGACTTTGTTCACATTCATTCTCTTAGTGGAACGAGATATCTTGGTGGAGAGATATGACTCTGCAGCTTCGAATACTTCGTTTGGTTCAAAACCAACAAATTCTTCGATCAGAGGATAAGTACCCGAAGAATTTGCGAGTGCTAAAAGAGATGATTTCATGGACCTCTGGCCAGTGGCGTCTTAGAAAATTTGAGGACCCAGAGCGAAATATGAAATTTGGGCCTTTTACATCAAAACAAATGTTTGTCTATTGAAAAAAAATGCATTGCTAGTTTGTATCGAGATCTTCATCGCAAGCTCTTCGAAGGTCCGTTAAACTGCATTCATCTAAGTTGCACCAAGAAGCTCGCCAAAACTGAAACAAACAAGAAAAGTATCAATTATTTTAAAAATTGAAAACGATCACATGAAACG